TACATGACCCTCTGTTCCTTCTAGAGTTTCATCTGTTCACTGGCTAGATTCTGTCTATCTGCTAGATTCTATCTATCATGACAGATGCCTGATTGGCATTATGGACCATTGCAGGTGGTCTTGGGTCATGTGGCTCCCTTCCTTTTGTTACTGATTTCTAGTTTCATTCCACTATAGTCAGAAAAGATACTTGAAAGAATTTCAATCTTCTTAAATTTGTTAAGAATTTTTTGTGATCTGGCATGTGATTTATTCTGAACAATGTTACACATGTGCTTGAAAATAAAGTATATTCTTTTGCTATAGAGCAGAATGTTCTGTATGTATCTGTTAGGTCCATTTTTTTTTCTACAGGACTGTTAAAATCTGTTATTTCTTCATTGATTTTTCTATCTGGATAATATTTCCTTTATTGTAAGCGGGATATTGAATTTTCCTGCTATTATTTTATTTCTGTCTATTTCTCCCTTAAGATTTATCAGTGTTTGCTTTATATATTTAAGTGCTCTAATGTTGGGTATATTTATAATTGTTCTATCTTTCTGTTTAATTGGTACTTTTATCATTAATGATCTTCTTTGTCTCTTGTAACAGTTTTTAATTAAAGTATATTTTGTCTAATATAATTATGCATATTTCTTATGGATCATTAAACATGGATTTTAACAATAAATTTGAGAGAAATAAAAGAGAAAAAGGAATCTCTATCCAATGCAGATGCTAATTCACAATAAGTGGGGGAAGAACAGAGGTATTTTTGACTAGACAGGGGAGTGAAGGGAGAGCAGAGAGCATGAGGGTATGAATGATAGTAGAATGAATGAGACATTATTACCCTATGTGCATATATGATTACATGATTTGCATGTGTAACTCTACACCATATACAACCAGACAAACAAGAAGTTACATTCCATTTATGTATGATGTGTCAAAATGTAAAATGCATGCATTCTACTGTCATGTATAACTAATTAGAATTTTTTAAAAAATATTTATTTTTTAGTTTCAGGTGGACACAATATCTTTATTTTATTTTTATGTGGTGCTGAGAATTGAACTCAGTGCCTCACTCATGCTAGGCGAGTGCACTACCACTTGAGCCACATCCCCAGCCCCAAATTAGAATTTTTTAAAAAAAATAATATTTTTAGTTGCCAATGGATTTTTCACTTTAATTGTTTATTTATATGTGGTGCTGAGGATCAACCCAGGGCCTCATACATGCCAGGCAAGTGCTCTACTACTGAGCCACAACCCCAGTCCCTAAAAATTTTTTAAAAGAGAATCTATATCTAAGGTTTTAATTAACTAATCTGAACATAGCACTTAAGAAAACTAAATATTAGAAGCTTACAACCAAAGATTAGAATATAGATATATACACATGTAATCGTACTTATGTAAAAGTAATGTCTCATTGAAACCACATTAATTCACTAAATCCTATATGAGAAATAAAAAAGTAACTCAAACACATGTACTACACATTATATACATATACATGCACAAATATATCCATATAGACATCCATTTCACATCATACATTTGATAATAATGATTATTTCATATGTATTATTGATTTGCATATTATGAATTCTGAAGTACAAGATTAAACAATATCCGCAAGACAATGACCGATTTAATGCTTACACACCAAGTGAATTATATTTAAATTGTCATCCTTAATTAGAATATGATGTTAGGGTTGTAACTCTAAGACTCAGAAATATTTGAAAGGGTAAGCAATACATGGCACATATCCCCCTTAAAAATGTGAGAATATAAAAGAGATATATTATGTTTATTTCTCTCTCAGTGTTTTAGACTTGTCTGAAAACACATAAAAGAGTTCTCTTCACATGTCATCTCCAAGGATATCTAGGTCTTCACTTCTAAGATTTAGTTTGAGGCCAAAGGGCCCTGTTTCCAAAGAAAGATTAAAAGAAGACTATCACCCAGGAAATCACTCCAGGAGGACCATTGTTTTTGATGATCTAAGAACATCAAAGGACACTTAGAAGGTCAAGAAGAGATGTTAGAAATGCTTGTGCTTCCAGGATAAAAGAGGAGATTGACCCAATGGTGGAGAAACCACAGGGTTCAAACTGGAGCTGTATTCTCTTGTTCTGTGATTATTACAAAGTGTTGTGATGCAGAAATGAGTGAAGTTAATGAGAAGTCAGATGTCAGTTTTTGTTGTGCTTGAACCCTGTGCATATAAAGTTTATATAGGACATAAATGAATTTTGTGTTTAGACTTGGGTCCCATCCCCAAGATATCTTATTATGCATATACAAGTATTCCAAAAGTCAGAAAAAATCTGAAATCCAAAACACTTTTGATCCCAAGTATTTCACATAAAGGACAGTCAACCTTGTAGTAGCTACCTCAGAGGGCTGTTTTAAGATTACAATGGAATAATGACATACAGCTCCAAGTACAATGTTTGGCACATAATCACAATTTCAGAAATGGTAGGTATTATTAGCAACAGAAAATCTAAGCCATTGAAATAATCAGTTATTATTACCCTACCATCCACAACAAAACACTAATAACTGGTAATGTAGTAACAACATTACAAATTAACTGTGCTTCTAAGTTAGCTAGATCAACTAATTTACTTGTAAAGTTTATAATAATTTCTTTACCATAACAAGGAAAAAGTCATAGACCTAAGGTCATATTACAAACTACCAGAGCAAATATATTAATTATACAGGAATATTTGAAAATTCTGATTTTAGACAAAAACAAAGATAAAAAATGTCCCAGAAATCACATAAGTATTATTGTTTTTAAAATAACTATCATTTTTAATGTAAGTAATAATTAAAAGTAATTTGATTACTAGTCAGAGATTTTAGAAAAGTTCTTGCTGGAGAGTCAAATTCAAATAATCTATGGACTATTACAATAAATAATGAACAAAAGGGTCTCAAGCATCATTCAGTTGGTAATAATTACTATTCAGGCATTAATTCTGTAACAGAATTTTGAAACTTTGGCAAATACACTTAATCAATAGTGTATTGCTAAATACTTAAAATCTGGCTGCCAGGGAAGAAGGCCTTTAATTTGGAGCAAATCTTCCACCATGGCAGATTTCAAACTGACAATTGGCTCTCCGCATCCAGTGGTAGCCAGAACCACCAGATCATGCAAATATGGAGTTACTACTCATAATGGTTAGATAGTCTGACAGAATTGAGTTGTTTAGAATGAAACCAAGACATCTGCCAAGTAAAAAAGTATAGATAAATACCATACAGATGTTCTAGGAAGGTAGCCAAAGCCAATTACAATAAACTGACTACATTGGTATTACTCAGGCTCTATTTCCCTTTCCCCCCAATCCTCCTTACTGAGAATTGATCTCTCCTCTGCACAGGAGGCTGCCTAGACCCTAGGCTCGCATCACCTTCTTCTCTACTGAACCTCCTGTCTCTTCAGGCTCTTGCTAATATCTTGCAGGGAGAGGTACTCAGGTTCTCTCTGTATTCATTTAATATCATTCACCAAGAAATAATGGTGTTTTTCTCATAGAATTACTGCAGTCTCCCTGAGTGCAGTGAACTCACCACTTAAGCTTAAGCTCTCCCAGCTAATAAGAGAGAGGTGCTCTATGAACAAGAAAGAATTAGTTTTCCATTTAACAAATTTACTTACCTGTATTTTCATTTAGAAACAGACTGTCTAAACTTTTAGGAATACCATTTGGAACACTGCTGGAAAAAAATGTAAATCCATCTGACTTTGAACCTTAGGCTACCCCTAGACTACTGTAGAAACTCCTGACACCCCTGACTTACCAAATTAAAGTTTTTTTTAAAAAAAGATAGAGTTTATGCATGAAAATAAATTCCACAATGTATTTCTCTGTTAACTCATAATGTTACACTTCAAATCTTCTTAATTTTCAAAAGTAAAGTTATTAAATATGACCTTCAGTAATTCTACAATCTCTTTATAGGTTATACTTACAAAAAATTACCTCAAGGTATTTTTGTGGCTTTAAAAAAGAAAGGAATCCACTACAAGATGAGTTTTGTGGATAGATGGTAGTAATAGTAGGAAAACAATATGACTATACTTAGTGCTACTATAGTTCTATATACTTATAATAGTTCTATACACTTAAAAATGTTTAAATGACAAACTTTCAGTGATATTTACCCAATTAAAAATTCCACAGCCACATCAATGTTTATAACAACTCAAACTCACAATAGCTAAACTGTGGAACCAATCTAGGTGCCCTTAAACAGATGAATGAATAAAGAAAATGTGGTGTGTATATGTACACAATAGAAAGTTACTCATCCTTAAAGAAGAATAAAATTATGGCATTTGCAGGTAAATGGATGTAACTGGAAAATATTATGCTAAGCAAAATAAGTCAATCCCAAAAATACAAAGGCTGAATGATCTCTCTGATATGTGGATGCTAACTTACAATAATGCAGGGGGCTAGGGAAGAATACAGTTACTTTGGATTAGGTAGAGGAGAGTTAAGGAAGAGGAGGGGGTGTTGGGTAGGAAGGATAGTATAATGAATCAGACATTATTACCCTATATACATATATGACTACACAACCAGTGGAATTCTACAACATGTACAACCAGAAGAATGAGAAACTATACTCCATTTATGTAAGATGTATCATAGTGTATTCTACTGTCATATATAACTAATTAGAACAAATAATTTTTTAATTTAAATTTTTTAAAAATCCACTAACGATAAATTCTTCCACTCTGCCCTCCAAAATTTCAAATAAAAAAATTTTACAAATAGCAATAATACTGATACTTAATACATCATGTCTTATCATGGACTTTGCACACAAGGACCCCATGTATTCTGCTAGACAGTAACAAGATACATTCATTTCTCCAAGGTCTCATTATAATTCATTATAACTGATACCCAGGGCTAATATTAAGATGTTATGGTTTAATGAGAAAAATAAATGATCAAAAAGTCAGCACATACTGCATTCTTTGCCCCTCACTGGGTCAGGCAGGCCGGAACAGTCCACTGCAGAATTGGGAATGGCAACTCTCCACCTGGAGCCACTGCTATCACATTCCGTATATTCAAAGTGGTAATCTTTCTGCAAACAGGCACAAAACAAGCCTTTGTTAAAGCTGATTCTAATGAGACAACTGTGCTTTATCAATCATCCTAACACAATTAGCTTGCAAGCCTCTATCCAAACGCCACCCCCTGTTTGACTTGAGTTCCTTTCCCACTCCACCCACTAAGCAGTTTATTGATCAAAAATGTATTAGATAGCCTGGCACAGTGGCACACTCCTGCAATCCCAGCAGCTAGGGAGGCTGGTGCAGGAGGATCACAAGCTCAAGGCCAGCCTCCACAATTAAGTAAGGCTTTAAGCAACTTAGGCCCTGTATCTAAATAACAAATTAAAAGGGAGGTTAAGCACCCCTGGGTTCAATTCCCAATACAAAAAAAAATTATTATATAAGACATACAGTAGGCACTCAAGATATGGGGGAGGGAAGGTCAGACAACATTCTCAAGCTGTAACCTTTATCCTTTCATACCATATACCCCTAAACCCAAAGACTACAGCACATTTCTCCATCTCTTTTTCAGGCTTTTTAAGCGCTAAAGGATTGATAGACAGGAGTACAACAAAGAGCAAAATAACACTAGGAAACTAACTGCTGTCAGTCACTACAAGTGTTTCAAAGAAATAAGAGAACCATTCCCATTGACCTAGTTCTTGCCCTGTTTAAAATTTAACAAAGTATAATAATTGATCATTCAAATACTAGAGAAAAAAATTACAGATTTTCTAAGCAACTCTCCCAAGCTCAATTCACATCCACCACAGCAGGCTGCCATTAGTCACTGAGTATTAAAATAGACCATTTATTACAATTGCCAATTTAAGGCCAACCCACTTGTCTCTGGCTTTTGGTTGCTTTGAAAATCTCACAATGACCTCCTCTGGTCACAGCACATTATACATGAGCAATGCTTGAATGGAGGGGAATCAGGATAAGATGTTACAAGAGCATTTCAAGAATAAGAGAAATCCCAAATCTATCCTCTATAGCCTATTAATTTAATCCAATACCCAGAATGTTGCTATTAGGACCCTCATCTATTTTGTTTGGCCTCCCTGACTATATTAATGACAGAGAAGCACAGAAGTACCTAATGACTTCACTGTGGGGAAGTAGGAACAGGAAGGCCATCACCCTTGCCTGTTTTCCACAGCAGCCTTTCCCAACAATTAATCTCCTGTTTTAATATATTTTTCAATCTGGATAAACATAATTTTCCAAATCCGCAGTTTGGGTTTTCTTTTTGTTACTGTACCCTTGGTTCATCTTTTTCTTCTCATATTTTACTATAAGCAATAAGAAGAAAGCAGCTCATCTGTACTTTTTACAATACTCTGTTTATGATAATTTACATACTAAGAAAATGTAGGCATTTTCTACCATGCTTCTCATATTTCCTGAGCCCTCACCAGCAGTCTTTTTCATCTTTATTTATTTATCAAGTTTGTTCAAGACAATCCAGTATTTCTATCATGTACTTAAAAATTCTTCCAGCCTCTGCTTGTTACCCCATTGTAAAGTCACGCCCCCTCTTTTAGGTATTGATTATAATAGCACTTCACTTCCAGTTCCCCCAAACTATAATCATTTCCTATGGTTATCTGTAGTGAATTACCACAAAATACATTTTGTGACAACAGAAATCTATTCTCTCATAGTTGTATGGGTCAGAAGTCGAAAAATAGTTCCACACCTCAAGGTATTGGCAGGCCATACTTCCTCAGAAAGCTTTAGGGAAAATCCATCTCTTTCCTTAGGCTTCTGGGGGCTGCTGGCATTCACTGTCCATGGCTGTGCGACTCCAGCCTCTGCCTCGGCCTTTTCTCCTCTTGTGATTGCACTCAAAGCCCATCTGGGTATCTTCCCTTAAGGTTCTCAATTTACATCTTCCTTTTTTTTTTTTTTTTTTTTGTCACATATGGCAACACCTCCGTGTTCTAGGGATAAGAATTTGGATATCTTTTGTTTTTGTGTTTCTTTTTCTTTTTTGGGTGGAAGCATTATTCAGCTTCTCACAATCCTCTGATAGAGTAGCTTGACTGGTCATTCATTTGCATAATGGCTTTCAGGTTTCTCTGTTCCCAGTTATTTGTATTAGGACATCTCTCTTATTTCCATATCCCACTGAGAAGATCCTGGCCTCTATATGGAAAATTTAGGTTATTTCTTATCATCCTAGAAAAATAATGATGCTGGGAAATCTGGCATGAATTTCAAATGAAGCAAGGCCTCTGCATAAAATAAGGTAAGCTCCAGAAAGCACTCCTCCAACACTGCCTCTGAGTTATCCAGGCTGCCACATCCAAGATAAGAACAGTAATAAGTAGATGAAAAAGGCATTATGTTTTCTGGCTGTAATGTTGTGTGTCATACACCACTTAATTTCCCTAAGATTCTTTTATCCTATTTACCCTTTCCAAATTACCCAATGACTCCAAAGGGCCATAGCTACTGTTGTTATACCAAACTCTTAGGATGTAAGCAAGAAGCATTGACATGTTTATTTAGAATTTTAAAATACCAAAATGAAAACAAACCTATTTCATGCAGAGGATAGCACAGGGGGTCAGGGATTTGGACTGTAGTCCAAGCCAGATGGAGTTTATTTTAAATTATTTAATAGGCTATTTCATATGGCATGGTAACAAATAACAATTTAAAAAATCTCTTCTGAAGGAAACCCTTCAATCCACAGAAAGATCTAAGAAGTGGGGTTACGTAGTAAAATTACTAAAGAGACATTATATGACAGCCCCTCCCAAGTATTCTGAATGATACTCTGGGAAAGAGAATTACACCACATAAATTTTCAGATTTATACTTAACACTCAAGACCCTAACTAAACACAACTCAAATAAAGATTGAATGCTTAAATCAATCCTTCAGAAATGGGAATTTTCTGATGTTAAGGGACGAGTTTAAAAGAAAAGGTAAAGTCATTTCTTATACAAATATAAAATTAATACATGTCAAGGACTTCGTTTGTAATTTTTATTAGTATGTCAAATCAATAGGATGCTACCACCAGTTCAAAGAAGAACTCAAGGGACAATAGAAAATCAGGAAAGTGAAATGAATTTAATTAACATAAAAATGGTAAATATATAGAGGATAATAATCAATTGTGTTCCAAAGGCTAAAATGCATTCTAATGTCTTCATGAGAATCACTGGTAATGCTATCAATTTCCTAACAGTGTTGTGAAATCATTCAAAGACAAAGAAAGACCTCTACAGAAACTGATAATTCAGGAACGTGCACTACACAGGACACCCAGAAATTCTTTCTGCCTTTTTCAATGTGTTTCACAATTTTGCCTGACAAGGGGAAAATTCTTGGCAATTTTTCATATACTCAAGGCACCTGATGTTTTATTTCCAAACACACTTAAGTGAGTCACAGCACACTCTAAAAAACAGACATCAGCTCACAAGCTACATTTCTCCAAATTACAAATAAGAAGTAGTGCCTTGTGCACTTCAATGCGAAGGATGAATGTTATTTAAACATGTCTGCAAATCACTGAATATTGGGGCATGAAGACACTGCTCCAAGCAACAAAGTTCCCTGTAAGCCTAACATTATAAATATGTGGGAGCAGGAAACAACCCAAAAAGGAATAGAGCATGGAATTATGCCTGACCACAAAACACTTAAAGGAAAATTATCCTTCTATAGATATCAAGGCACCCCACATACACAAAACTACCCAACTATTCACATGCACTCACAAATCAAAATACAGGCACAGATTCTTAAATAACAACAAAAACATCAAATTGTATTGTCTTATTTCTAAAATAGAGAATGTCAGAATATACCCAAGTAAATATTGAATGCTAACAGCACTCCCAAACACCAACGTCATCTACCCTAAAAAAGGCTCATGGTATTCACTATAAACCTTGGGACTCATTTATCAATTCTGATAACAATATTTACTATTTAACATGTAGGCTAGACAGTGTTTTGAAAAGATCTCATGTATAAATTATATATGTTTACATATTGACAAAATACATATGTATTACTGTTATGGAGACATTGTATTAGTCGGTGTTCCATCATTATCCTGAAATACCTGAGATAATGAACTTATAAAAAGTGCATTGTGGCTCAGTTTTAGAGGTTCCACTCCATGATTGAATGGCCCCCTTGTTTTGGGCCTGTAGAAAAGCAGCAAAAGTACTCACCTCATCAGTCAGGAAGCAAACAAATGAGAGGAAGGGGTCAGGATCCCATTATCCCCCTTAAGGGCATAGCCCCAGTGACCCCACTTCCTACGGTTCCACCAACTCCAAAAATCACTACCCCAGGGGCCAAGCCTTTTTAACACATGGGCCTTTCAGAGGCATTCAAGACCAAAACTCTAGCAGACATTAACATATATTGTATTAAGTGACTTATATATATACCAATGTCATTTTATATAAAAATATGTATTGTTTTTTATTCCCAGGCACTTAATTATTAAATAAGTAATATGGCCTAAAGAGTATGGGGTGATTTAAAACAATACACAGCTCCTATACTCAACAGGCTTATGATTTTGTTAGAGTGAACTAGACACACACACACACACACACACACACACACAATTTTATAGGAAAGCATAAAGAATAAAGGTTCCAAGAGGAACAGCAGTACTACAAGTCAGTGTGTCAATAAAAAAAACTATCTAGATGCCCTTCAGTAAATGAATGGATGATGAAAATGTAGTGTATATACACAATGGAGTACTATTCAGCATTAAAAGATAATAAAATCATGGCATTTTCAGGTAAATGGATAGAGTTGGAGAATATAATGCTAAGTGAAGTTAGCCAAGCTCCCCCCCCCAAAAAAAAATAAATGTTGAACTTTTCTCTAATATAAAGAGGCTGATTCATAGTGGGTTTGGGAGGGGGATCATGGGAGGATTAGATGAGCTCTAGATAGAGCAAAGGGGAGGGAAGGAAGGGAGGGAGTATGGGGATAGGAAAGATGGTGGAATGAGATGGACATCATTACTCTAAG